TCTCTGCAAAGAAAATATTTTCTTGTGGTGGACAAGTTTGCAAGCCCATTCACTAATGCTTTTATCCGCACGCCCTACACTTCACTAAAACACACACAGCCATGCTATATAGGTTGCCGACATCCCGTCCACGGCCCCAGCGAGGGGGGAGGGCCACTTGCAGAGGCTGAATCTGAGGCCGATGTCTCCGGTTTCGTTGCTCCGACGCCCCGCCGAGCTCACCTCTCTCCCTCCGAGCCTAACGCCCTGCATCTCATATGAACGCCCCTTACCAGGCCCTCCTCTCCCCTCTCCGCAGTAGAGTGCCAGCTTCTCGGGGAAAACAATTTACGCGGCGATATTAATTTAATTTGAAAAGAAACAAGAAAGCATTTTAGACCAATGGAGAGGGTGACACTATACATTTGAAACAATGGGCGGAAATTAATGTTACAACTGTAAGAGGCATAGGCTAAATCACGATGCTCACCATGATGACTGTCATCGGCGAAGCACCGGCGCCTTCGCTGTTAATGAGGGCACTCCCCGTCGCTGGGACGATCACTCAGTGAGACCGCCAGTCGTCAGTCGGGCACTATGTCACTCTGCCGGCCACGGCCATCGCACCGAAGCATCACAACAACGACCGTCAGTTCCTGCCGCAGTCTGTGCCGTGCTGGTCACCGAGGGTGCTCGCCGACGCCAGGACCACCACCCCGGGGCTCGCATCCCGCTCAACGACACTACAACCACCCGCTACCAGCAGCACGTCAAGCACGACAAGCACGTCACCCGCAAGAACGCCGGCAAAGGATACACTCGCGCACGACCGGGCTCTGCGCCGCGCCAAGAGCGACTGGCCGATAGCTCTCCGGGCCGGCGGCGCGCCCCCTCCCCCCTCCTCTCTCCTCCCCGGCGAGACGGGGGCGGGGAGCGGCGGCAGCGCCAGCAGCGACCCCCGGGGGTGCGACTACGGGGGTGCGTCAGCCTCCTCACTCTCAATTATTCTTCTGCGTAAGTCACACCCTCACACCCTCACACACACACAACACGCACCGGCGATGTACAAAATAACAAGCAACTATTTTTCAACGTCATACATCTGCCTGAGACTTACTATGTACATACTTTTCATACACGTGGAGACCGGGGTGAAAAACAGCGTCACATATTCAATACCAAACAACGTTATATTTTCGTCAAACCATTAAAGTGTTGAATAATCTTGATTAATGTTCACATACGAGTGGAGCCGAACACACTAAAATCTTCTGAACAATTTTATCAATAGCTTACTGAGTTCTGCTGTAAATATGCTCCACTTACGCGTTTTTTTAAAACGTCAGTGTAAAGACATTTTTTATACTGGGGCATTAAAAATGCGAAAAGACAGCATGCTTACAGAAGTCATAAGCTATGAACAAAAATAATGATGAGGTCATAGTGTGACAAGCTGGGAGCGTGTATGCGATTGTGGTTGTGCGTGTTTTCCTCCTGCCAGCAGATGGCTGGAAACGCGATAGCCTTCTCCACACAAAGGCCCACGTCCACGAAAATCGTGACGCTCAATTTTTCGCGCCAACCATTTTTGTTTTCCCGCTGTTTAAAGGTGCGCGGCTGCGCGCCACTGGCCCCGTCCGAGAGCGACGCGTCGGACGCGCTAGCGAGAAACAGAGCGGAGGCGGGGCGGCCAGCTGTTTGAATATTCCCCTCGGGGAGTCCCATTAAGATGCACCAAGACAGGATCGCCTCGACGGCGTCGCCCACGACCAGGCGGACCAACGGCCAGAGCAAAACTTACTACTTGGGAGCAGCTTTGTCATGGCAGGTGCGGTAAAGCAGCTCTACAAGTAGGGGGGGAAGACTTACACTTCATCTTTTTGGCAAGAAAGTCATGCTGTAAAAAAAAAGAAAACGACTGTATTCAAAACTGAACCTAACAAATGCTGAGCGTGTTTAATGTAGTGCAACAGATTGACACTTTGACTGGATAAATAGACCGAATAGCACGAGGTCCAGCAACCAGGTGTTTCAGAGATTCGCAGGCATACGTTATATCGTAGCGGTGTTGTTTCAAAAGATATAGTGAAGCCTGTTACGCCAGGTCTGCCTAGCAAACATCTAGCCAAAATTGTGTAAGGTGCGAAGATACGCGTCGCAGAACTTATAAACGGTGCAAACAATGTCTGAGTTTTTGAGAGTAAGGGAAAAATTTGAGAAAGTCTCCTCAAAATATTTCCCTAATGGTCAAGAGGTTTTCTAAAAAAATCCGACGAATTTTTCTCATATATATTCGAGTTACTCAAAGTTTTCCTATTTGAATCGAAAAATCAGACATTGATTTACTGTGTTCTGGCTGCGGTGAAGTTCACCCCAGGATCAAAGATTCAAATATCAGCCACACCTGGCCGATGCCAAAGTTTGCGGAACGTTTATAGGGTTTATCTATTGGCAGCTGCAGCTTGGGTAGAGATTGACTGCCAAAACAAATAATCCTTCTTATCGCTTAGCGACTCCCGGCGCCCTTTCCACGGATATCAGGGATATACGAGACTCAGTTAGTCTCAGTCTCAGTCTCCCTCTCTCTCTCTCTCTCTCTCTCTCTCTCTCTCTCTCTCTCTCGGCGACTGACCGTGCAGGCATAATCCGGAGCGCAAATGCTCGCAACAGAATTCAATACATTTCGTCACCCACGCACCCAAAGATTACGCAAAACCAGACATCACTCAACTAACGCCACGCGGACGCCGGCTCACCGACGACGC